GACTTGAGCACAAGCTCATCACCAAATGAGGCAAAGTATCCCATGGGCCATACTCGGTAAAAATTAATTTAAAAAGAATTTAGCTCATCCTAAAATCTAAGCCATTGTTAGGTAGAAATTAAAATTAAAATTTTAATTTGAAATATGTTATTTGTACATAATGCGGTGTCCATTCCCATCACTTGAAAGGGGACCCACTTTGAATGAATTATATTTTGTTCCATGTGAGGGGTGGACATCAGACGGACACCTGACACCTCGATGTACTTGTAATATTAACCAACTAATTTTAGCTATACATTTTATGAAATGCACAACTTTTCAACTTTACATTTTATCAATTTTTATTAAAAGTTACCAAAAAATTATTTTAATCCTATCAAACATGACTAAACTATATTCCAATCGAGATCACAAGTTCACGAGTAATGCAATTTCCTCTCTTTCCTAATTTGGCTATTATTTACAAGAAAAATAGTAAAAACTAAAAAGTATAAAGTTGATGAATAAAAGTTCTTTTCATAAATAAATTAATTTTTAATGTGTTAACATGTAATTCAATTCGAGTAATGCTATTTATGGGGTGTATTCAATTGGAACTTTTAAAGATTTTGATGGACTTTTTTTAAATGATGAATTTTATGGATTTCGTGAATCTTTTATAGATTTGTATGGAATTAGTGGAAGCTTTACGTAGACTTCTTTGAGCTTTCATTTGAAAATTTTGTAGAATTCTAGAGACTTTTGAAGATTTTCATTTGAAATATAATTTACGTACATCTAGTATAATTGTGTGAAATTCTCACATACGAAGTGTTAGTTCCCACAATTCCCCATTCCTTCCATTCTTCTTCCCATATAATAAAAACATTTGAAAAAACAAAAATTTAAGACATTAATTAAATAAATAATAATAATAATTGTACATATATATGATTCAATATTATTAGTATATTATATTTTTAAAAATAAATAATTTAATTATAAACTTTTCATATAAAATTGTATAATTTAACAAAAAATAGATATTTTTCACCAAAAAAAAATGAATGAAAAAAAAGTTACAAGAATTCAATTTAATTTTTTCATAGAAAATAAAGATAAATAATAAGAGAGAGAAAGAATAAAAAATAGAAAAAAATATAATCAATAGAAAAAATAAATTTTAATCATACATGACCATATAATGTTAAAAGAAAGAAAGAAAGATTAAAAAAAATTGTGAAAGTCTTCCAAAATATCGTGATTCATGAGAGACAAATTTTAATATTTTATATGAGTACTTTCTACTTAAAAGTTAGTACTTCAGAGACTTTTATAAAAATCTCTAAAAGTCATTAAAATTTGAATACCCCTAAACTTATAGAAACTTTTAAAAAGTCTCAATTAAATACATTATGATTTTTAAAGACTTCTTAAAAATCTATAAAAATCTCAATTGAATACACCATGACTTTTAGAGAGCCTAAAAAAATCTCAATTGCATACCCCTAAACTTTTTAAATTTCAAAAAGTCATTAAAAGTCTCAATTAGATACAGCATCTCTATCACTAGGATTACAATCACGTTTAAATGATACTAATGTGACATTAAATAATAAGTAATATAATTAAAGGACCAATTTAATTTCACTTTTCATTTAACATATTATGATTCATCCCAGTGGGCTACTAAGCATGCTCAATCCAATAATATCTCATCTTCCATTCCGACTTTTGATTTGTTCAAAGGACTGTGCACTCTCAAATGAATACATGCTTATCCCCTAGAACTCCCATGCACGTACACTACTCCAAGGCTGCTCCTCCATTAAGCATCATAGTACCATCCAAAAACCAAAGCAAAAATCGAACCCGTTTCATTAATTTCGCAATCCCATCTGCATATGCCGCAACCAAGGATGTCTGGCGTCGGAGACAGTCGGCGCCGTCTCAACCGCCCCGCCGACAGGAAAAGGTGGTTTACTTGGACCATAGTGTTGACATGGACGATCTGTTATCGACAATTGGGCAGACTGAAAATGAGCACCAACTTTTTGCTGTAATGTCGCAGTATAAAGATCGAGTTCTTTCTATTCGGTTCATGGTCAGTCTTTTATCTCGTGAGCCTGATTGGCAAAGGTCATTGGCGCTGCTTGATTGGATTAATGAGGAAGCCCTTTACACCCCCTCGGTATTTGCATACAACGTTGTGTTGCGCAACGTGTTGCGAGCGAAGCAGTGGGCTCTTGCTTATGGACTGTTCGACGAAATGCGTCAACGAGCGCTTTCACCTGACAGGTATACTTATTCTACTCTAATTACTCATTTTGGGAAAGAGGGTATGTTTGATGAAGCTTTGTCTTGGCTTCAGAAAATGGAACAGGACCGGGTGTCAGGGGACTTGGTTTTGTACAGCAATTTGATTGAGTTATCGCGAAAATTGTGTGATTACTCGAAGGCCATTTCAATTTTTTCGAGGCTGAAGAGATCTGGGATAACTCCTGATCTTATTGCCTATAATTCAATGATTAATGTGTTTGGGAAAGCTAAGCTTTTTCGAGAAGCACGATCACTGATTAGTGAAATGAGGTCAGTGGGGGTTACACCTGACACTGTGAGCTACTCTACACTTTTGACCATGTACGTTGAGAATCAGAAGTTTTTGGAGGCATTGTCGGTGTTTTCAGAGATGAGGGAGGTTAAGTGTTTGCTTGATCTCACGACATGTAACATAATGATCGATGTGTATGGGCAGCTCGACATGGCTAAGGATGCAGATAGGTTGTTTTGGAGCATGAGGAAGATGGGAATAGAACCAAATGTTATTAGTTATAATACCCTTTTGAGGGTATATGGCGATGCTGAGCTTTTTGGGGAGGCAATTCATTTGTTTAGGTTGATGCAGAGAAAGGATATTGAGCAGAATGTGGTTACATATAACACCATGATTAAGATTTATGGGAAGACACTTGAGCATGAAAAGGCAAATAATCTTATTCAAGAGATGCAGAGTAAGGGTATTGAGCCCAATGCTATTACTTATTCAACAATAATATCAATTTGGGGTAAGGTAGGGAAGTTGGAGCGAGCAGCGATGCTGTTTCAGAAACTGCGGATATCTGGGATTGAAATTGATCAGGTTCTTTATCAAACAATGATCGTTGCATACGAGAGGGCTGGTTTGGTTGCTCATGCTAAACGTCTCTTGCATGAGCTGAAGCGTCCAGATAATATTCCCAGGGAAACCGCGATTACTATTCTTTCTGGTGCCGGTCGAATAGAAGAAGCCACTTGGGTTTTCAGACAGGCTGTCGATGCTGGAGAGGTGAAAGATATAGCCGTCTTTGAGTGCATGATTGGTCTTTTCTCTAGAAACAAAAAGTACACAAATGTTATTGAAGCTTTTGAGAAGATGAGAGGTGCTGGATACTTTCCCGATTCTAAAGTGATATCTTTCGTGGTCAATGCTTACGGGAAATTGCGGGAGTTTGAGAAAGCAGATGCCCTATATAAGGAGCTTCAGGAAGAGGGGTGTGTTTTCTCGGACGAAGTGCACTTTCAGATGCTGAGCCTTTGCGGTGCAAGGAGAGATTTTGAGATGGTTGACACTTTATTTCATAGCCTGGACTTGGATCCTAATATCAACAAGAAAGAGTTGCATCTTGTTGTTGCTAGCATATATGAAAGAGCAAATAGATTAAACGACGCATCTAGAGTCATCAATCGAATGAGTGACAGAGGAATATTGAAGTCTTGACAGTCTTTGCATGTGATAATGTATTATTCAAATTTGTTGTAAATTACAGCATTTCATAAGTAGATATTGTTGTTGAATTGTTTACTAGTGCTCGAGTTTCCAAATGGTTTAATTTCAGAGTTTGTTTCTGGTGGTGCAGGATGAACCCAAAATGTGTTGTAATCATGCTAAAAATCAAGAAGCACAAAATAATAATTGATAGTTCGGATTCATATCTACGAAAGATATCTTTGATATGAATAATAACAACTAGATCTTCCCCTCCTTCTCACAAAGTATTAGCCTTCAATGGAGCTAGCTAATAAAACAACATGGAGACAAGATGGGACCTAGTCTTTATATAGGAAATTATTGAGCTGTTCCATTACGATTTAAATTCTAATTAGGGTTTACATATATTTTTGGCAGACATACTTAAAATTACCACATCAAATTAAATATAGCATGTAAGGTGTAAAACGGCCTAATTGATTATTTAATAAATTTGGCGCAATCACAATATAATTATGAGCTATACATCTAACCAGTAAATTTTACAATCAAATGTGAGGCGTATATTAGAATTATTCCAACATTCTCCCACTTAGACAAACATTTGATTGCTATAACAAAATTTTTAACATCCGATTTAGACTACATAGGTGGCCACAAAGTATAGTTCCAATGAAGACACCTTACGAAATATGATCTGGTCCAATAAGAATGTTAACATCGAACATAAAAGTCATCACACCAATTAAGCGATGTAAGATCATTCCACAGCTACAAATGCTAACATCCTTATCAACATGAATCTCCATCCTCCAACCAATATGGTAATATTGATATGAAATTAGCATCAAATATTATAAAAAAAACTGTGATAATTCATATCAATCCTCATAATGCTTCAGATCAAAATGAAGCTATATATCTCTAAAAGAAACTCATCTTGTATCTTTGTTTGTCATATCTCGAGATTACAATAATATCATAATAAAATACATAAGTCAAATGCATGCTAAAAATAATTCATGAATAGGAGAAAATATATTTTATTATTGGAAGGGTTACCTATGTACCTCGTAAAGGGGACAAGCCAAAACGTAGTTCTTTTATATATACACTAGTCTATTGCCCGTGCAATGCACGGGCATTGTTATTTCGAGGGTAATGTTAATGTTCCTAGATAATAGATTTATTTCTCCTTTTTTTGGTGGCTTCTTCTTAAACCTTTAATGCATAATATAGCATTTTTTCATATACTCGCTTCTCCAAAGTTGAGATTATAGATACTCAACTTTATTATCAAACGTCATCAAAGTAGGAAATAATTATGAAAAAACTCTAATATTTATTAAATGGCAAATGGAACCTAATAACATTGAAGAACTGCAATAGAAATTCTAAACCTAGATGACCAAAATTATCAAGTCAAGGTAATAAAAGCACCTTTTTTCTTCCCTCCGCATGGAACATGATATCCTACCAGCAGATTTTGATGCTCGACAATCCAATAAATGTCAAATCACTATGCATGATTCAGAATGACAATAAGTAAATTGAACAAAGAACTAATCTTATATGCGGAACCAATCCCCAACTTGTGCTCAGAATCCCCTGACTTCATTTCTTTCTTTGCTTCGGTTAGTGATCCCCCCAACTCCCATTTTTATCGATTCATTTGGTCTTCTGTGAATTTTCTTCCACCTCTCTTTGAGTTTCATGGACTATGTCAATCACCAGTCTTATGGAATTCTCATCATCCATGGATTGAGTGTCGTTACTATTGTTGCATGTGGTGGATGATATTGAGGTTTAGTCATTCACAAATTCTATTAATGCAAATAACATTACTAAAAGAATTCAACAAGTTAATAGAACCAAAATTCAATCTAAATCATGGGAAAATATAGATAATAAAAGTTAAATGCCAGATAATACCTTCAGTAAGTTGCCTTGTCACATGGGCATTCTTTCCATTCGAAACATACAAATGATTTGATGTGATTAAAAATCAGATTAACCATCCAAATTTTCTTCTATCAATATAATCACTTGTAACAAATGAAATATACATCGAAGATTTGATGTGATTTAAAATAAAAAATCTCCTTTTCAACACGTGAAATCCTTATATTTTTCTGTTATTTATCCAGTAAAGCCTGGCCATTTGCATGACCCGACCTTTCATAACTCCTTTATGACAGGTAACATGTGCCAAGGTCAATGGTAGGATCAATATACTTCTATCATATATTTGAAGTACAATGGATGCCAACCTCTTTTCACAAGTTGCATTTGATTCACCAATGGCAAGGAAACTACAACCTGGAGATGTAATTGATTTCAGTTCCCGAGAACAAAATAGAAAAGGCTTTAGCAGGAGTACCAAAGCTAAAGTTCCAACTCATTAAAGAGAATCATTAATAACTGCAGTATAAAATACCTAGCACTTCCCAGTTTACAATTACTATATACGATGTTTAGGTGGGCTTATCTAAGCTTGCTTAGTTCACTCATAAGGCGGAGACAAAATCTTTTTTGTTGATGAGAGAACAACATCTTTTATGTTATTCTAAATAAGTAATCTTAGTTTCAAAACATTTTCACTTGTATATCTAGTTTGGGTTTTAAATTCCAAATTATATAAAATTCTAAATATATAGATAAAAAGATTATTCATGCTTCAGCATTCAGATTGATCCCACCATAATTGAAGACTTCGTCGGTAACTCTAGAAACCATGGTAGAAGGATCACAATATTGGATATATGAGAAAAAGTATATGCCATTCTATTGATTAAAGACTTACTGTCAAAGTCGCCAAGGAGAAACTCACTCAACCAATTTATCAATATGAGCTCCCCAATAATCTTTGCCAGCTCCTCCACGTTTTACCTGATTTCTGCAATGGAATGAGAGTACAATGGAATATAAATGTCTAAGGATTGCAAAGATGCAAAGACAAAGGAGAGATTAAGTTAGGAACAAATAGGGTGTTCAATTTCATCTTTGTTAGCATTTTTCAATTTCATCAAGCTGATACAATAAGAATTGAAATCCCGAATCTAAGTTACTATTGTTATTTTCTTTCTGAAATCTCAGTAATCAAACCTCTGATTTCTAAGCAAATCTTTTTCCAACAAAATAAAATAGAAAACAAAGATCTTTTCAAAATTTTCAGTAAACTTAAAGAGAAGCAATAAAAATGAAGCATGCACTAAAGTTTAATTTTTGGAAGTCAATTTCAACCTAGAGATCATTAGATCAAAATTGATTTTGACATCAGCATTAAGATAATCAATCAATCCCTTTTTAAAAAAAAAAAAAAAGAACAATAAAGTATCTGAAAATGATCATATTCTTAATTTCTTTGTTTGCATTTTGTATCATCATCAATTAGAGCACAAAAAGCAAGAAGAAAAAAGAAAGCCAAATTCATTGAAGACAACAAAATCCATATGAAATTCAAAATTAAATACTTTCAACTAACAATTAGAAGAAAATTTTGAATAAATGCACACACATATCTAAAATAGAGATAGAGAAAAAGATTACAATATCAAGAGGGGGTTTAAATGGATTCATAGTACTTATGTTTCCACGAGAGAAAAAATCAAAATAAACATTTCTTACCACTAGTGCAGATCTTCATTCTGTAGTATTAGATTCTATTTCCAATGTACATTATGGAAGTGGGCATTTCCTGCAAATGAACATCTGAACCTGAGATATGGGTTTTTATTAGACCATTAAAAGCAAGGAATTAAGGCTTCAAAAAATTAAATGAGCAATATCATCAGGAGGCCATGGACATTATATATGCAAACTTATATGAAATAATAAATATAGGTCATGAAAAGAAACAAAAATCAATATACTGGGCATATTATTTTTGCTAAGAAATGGGCCGAATTGCATCATGCTCGTAGGGCAAAACACATTGTATCATGCTCGTAGGGCTTCTCTTGTATATTATTAACTTAAAAGGTGGCACGAAATATATTGAACAAGAAGAGAATCATATATTTATTTAAAATTAATATTCAATGAATCCATTTTGGAGAACTAAAACAAACTTAGTTCTATCAGTGAACAGTCTATAGCGTCTGCAAGAAAAACATTAAAATAGTACATTCATCTACAAGATTATTGATCATAAGCAATAGTAAGCAATTAGTATGAGAAATATGTACCAGGAGGCAGCCTCTCTGTGTTGTGGCCAACGATGCACCTCCCAGTAAGAATAGGCTGATGATCGAACAGTTGAAAGATGCCTGTCATATATCATGTTTGCTTTTTCAATTTTGGATTATCACCTGTCAAAGAATGTAAAATCTTTTTAGTCATTTTCACTTCCCTCACTTCAATGAAGGTATCAAAATCTCAAATGTCTTGTCTAGAATTTCTCTAACCTTTTCGTATACCCAACTTGCAATGCACTGACTTTTCTTCTATAATGCTGTCCTGTTTGCTTTTGCAATTCTGGATTATCACCTGTCAAAGAATGTAAAATCGTTGTACCCATTTTCACTCCACTTACTTCATTGAAGGTATCAAAACCCCATATATCTTATCTTGTCTAGAATTTCTCCAACCTTTTCGTATTCCCAACTTCAAATGCATTGGTCTCTTCTTCTATAATGTTGTGACCACCCCTTCAAACTAAGGACTGAAAAATTCAAATTCTAAAGCAAACATACAAAATTCTTTCAACAGGCCTCTGATGCAAATAAAATGAAAACTATCCAGGTTCTGGCAATATTATTTGAAGAATTTCAAGCAGCAGAAATTGAGAGAATCTCTCTCCTTTCCGTATTTACATAATCCACCATGAATTTTCCCTTAATTACACACCCTTTTAGCTAAATATAATTACAGAGCCAGAATCGATTAGCTCAAAACACTTGATATCCACCATATCAGGATTCTATCTTTGCAGTAGAAACTGCCATCAATTATCTTCGAGTAAATAAGAAAGACCAGAAAAAATTCGTTCGTCCTCTCTAAAATCTAGAGATAACCCCCGAAATTTTCCCCAGAATACCTGTGAATCCTCATAAGACCTTTTTGCTATTGTCGTGTTGTTGTTCCAAGATCTTTACTTGAACTGAAAATAGTTCAATTTTCTCTCAAGTCTTTGTTTGAAATTTTAGTTAAACTTTCATAAAAAGGGAAAAATTTCCACAGGATCTGCAAAAGTGATCAAGAAATTGAAGAAATTTACAAGATTGGAAGAAATTGAAGGTCGATTCCAGTAATTAGTTTGAATCTTACCTTTTCTCTCCTTCTTAGGGATTGCTTTGGCTCGGTTTGTTGAGAAAGAAACTCATGAAAAAGCAAGAGAGAGTGAATGAAGAAAAAGAAAGCAAATGCTCTTTATGTAAAATATCTATATCTTATTGAATAACTAGATAATGAACAGTAAAGAACCAGTTTCAGTGTGAATCGGAGGGCAGCAAAATGAACAGTAGAGCCAACATTCACTCTTTTATATAAAGGCAATGAAATGATATAATTAATATTACTGATAAATTAAAATTAATTAAGTACAAATTCTAAAAATTCAATTCATTTACAAGCAATAAAACGTTAAATAAATGTTGAGCTGGAACTAAAAGGGGTGATGGACTACAAAAACCTCTCCAGATTACACGAAGGTGACAAGTCAAACAAAAAGAGTCATCTATTTTAAGCAATAAGAAAAAAAGTTGCTTCCGAAAAACAAGTAACCCAAATCTCGAACAAGTGAATTGTATTGAAGACACCATCCACATATTTTGAGATTTAAACTATTTTTATGAAGGGGAAAAAATATCAAAATCAAAACTTGCCTTATATTGACCGTAATAACACAGTAAAGGAGGACGAAACCAGTCGTTGGAACTTTAGGGCGAAAGGACGTTGATTTCTCAGAACTCTTCGTCCCTTCCACTTCAATGGCTTCATCCTCTTCAAAAATCAAACCGAAAGCATCTAAGAAAGTAAAATTCAATCCATAAATCCAAGATTTGAATGATAGTAGTCAGAGTATGAAATATTATCACCTTGCTTCGAGCCTCGGTCTCATCTTACTTGTCGGATTTTACCCTTCTTCATCCTCCTTTTTAGGATTTGATTTTGTTGTGGAACGAGGAGTTGAAAAAAAAAACTCAAAAAATAGGGAATGTCTGAATGAATGAAGTGAGAGAAAGAGAAAAGGTTTATACCGAAGATAAAAATAGGGAAAAAAATTGTTGCTCCGCACACCACGGAGCTCCTCTCCGTGCTGCGCGGAGTCTATCTTTCATTATTATTTTTTTATTTTTTTTAACAAAAAACAAAACAAGAAAGAATTTGAAGTCAAAAAGTGTTGGCTACTTTGTTTGTTGTCAATTTACATTAATTAGCACTCTGAACAAAGTGAGTACGATCGAATTCGCTATCAATTTTAAAGTCAAAAATTCCGGTTTCTATGTTTTATCGTTACATAAGAAACAGTGATATGCGAGAAGAAATTAAAGTGGGATTCTCTTTTTTTAATAAAGGGAATAAAATTAAATATTTAATTAGGAAACGAATTTGAAGTCAAAAAGTGCTGGTTCCTTTATTTGTTGTCCTGTTTGTATTAAATAGCTATAGTACAGCTTGTTAGCTTTTGTGAGTAGGAAAAATTAAAAATAAAACAGTGTTGGATTTCTCTCCGCACTGCGCTGAGAGGTGCTGGCGAAGAGGATCTCATTTCGCGCCGCGTGTAGTGTTTCACCAACTCTCCGCACAGCATGGAGGCCCTCTTTTTTTTTCTTTTTTTTTTGTTTATTTTTTTAGTACGTATTTTTGGTAATTTCACCATAATTTTGGCTACGGTTATCAAAATCACGCCCATAACTCCAATTCGAAAAGCTCTTTTCTGCACGCACATCGTGGCATCGTTTTCAAGGTCAAAATTCGCTGTTTTCCTTCCAAATCTTCAATTATAGCTATTTTCTTCCTTCTATGGCATCTTTTATTATGAAAACATACTTTCTAATGTTGTAAATATCTATCCAACGTCAAAAAAAATTGACATCATACACATAAATTTTTTTTGGAAAATGATGTAAATTATATTAAAAAAGTTGTTGCGAAAAAAAAAACATTCATAAAATAATTGATTTTTTTAAAGAAAAAAGACGAGTTATACGCTTTTTTAAATGTAATGTTTAACTATTTTCGATATTCATTTAGATCATTCAATTTGTCCCGAAACGAGCTTCGAAAAAATATAGAAGATTAATGAATTCGATTACCGTACAATCGTCGATGAATTTTTAAATTTAACCTGTTATCGAAATTCTTAATTTTTTAAATAATGTCTCTTTTAATATTAAAATAATTTAAAAGTTTATTAGGAAACTTTTGACGTCCAAAATTTAATAGATTATTTAAAAAATTAACTGATCGAAACAAAAATATATATATATATATA